ACTCGAGAGACTCGATCGCTTCAGATTGAAACTCTCACTCCAAAAACTCCTTAGTTACACCTCCACAAATCCTTCTCATTTATATCATTTCTTTCTCTTTTTACTTTGTGAAAAAATCAAAGAGAATGTAAATATATAATGATACAGAACAGTAGAGAAACCTTGATGAGCTCTGCCTCTGTTACAGTTTCTCCCCCACTCGTCTTCAGTTTTCTGTTTGACAAAATCAACCGAACCACAGGAAGTGAAACCGGTTTGTCCTCAGGCGGCGAGTCGTGATCTGAGTGTGGAGACAGAAGCTCTCACTTTTTCTCAGCTGGATCAAACCATCGCGCTCCTGTTGAAACTTTCGGTCTTCATAACGCTCATTAACACCTTCTCCTCCCACACGCACAACAAAGCCACAGGGGAAACACACGAGTCCACACACCCACCGAGCTCGTCCTGGGAAATGTAGGATTTCATTTTGATAAAACAGGCAAAATATATTTGTAAAAAGAATTAATTTGATAAATTTAATCAATATTTAATTAAAAAACAGTTGTCAGCAGCTCTGAGTGCGATGAGTCATTCAGCGCTCGTGATTTTAACCACAAATTCTGGTTTTCAATGTGAAACTTAATAATAACAGTGAGAAAATAAAATGAAGTTGAAGACAGGGCGTCGTGTGGCGTGTTGGTCTAAGCAGGCGCCCCGTGTGCAGAGGCCACAGTCCTCGCTGCAGTCGGCCTCGGTTCGGGTCCCGCATCGGACGGCCCTTAGCTGCATGTCATTCCCCCTCTCTCTGCCTCCCCACTTCCTGTCTCTCTCTACTGTGCTATCAATAAAGGCCCAAAAAACATACTTGAAGTTAAAGACAGCACAAGTACGACCTTGTGTTTTAACTCTGAGTTAAAAAGATTTAAAGGCGACACTTTTATTTGTTCATTTTCTTTGAGCTTGCTAAACTGAAATATAAGACATAACGCATAAATCAATAGATTATAATTCAGATTGATAATCGATTAGACCGATTAGATGCGTCTTTTGAACTTGATCCAGAGAGTTAATTTTACATCACAAATTTGACCGGCACTTAGTCCTTAACATTTTTCCTTAACTAAGGAAATCTTTTGCGATATTCTGTGCAACACCCTTAAGTAAAGTAAATAAACCTTAACGGTCATACTTAAGTAGAAAACTTGTTTGAGCCTTAAAACCAGCCGTCAGGACTTCTGGAACTTTGTGATGTCACAACAAAGCAGTCCCCAAGCCCCGCCCACCTGGACCCACCATCCAAACCTTGCAGGATTTGGTTTCTCTGAGTGTTTTTACCTGAAATCTGCTTTATTTTTATTGGATCACTCAGAAAACAGTCAGCCAATCAGAAGAGAGGCTCAGAGCCTCCTCTCTTCTGATTGGCTCACTGACCTGTTGTTACTAGAGCTCCAGAGAGAAGCCTGAGAGAGGAGATGTGAAACTACACTGAGATGGTTTTTATATCTTCTGATGGATCAACACTTCAAATAAAACACAGAAGAAGAAGAAAATATGGAGCTTTAATGTTCCAGCTCTTCATTAAAGATTTATTATGTGACTGAGAGAAATAATATTGTAAAACCAAAGACGTCATGTTTTCACGGCTGCACCACATACACGTACATACGTTTGTGTCATGACTAAAATTTTAAATAAAGGTCCGTGGATTTGGATTCAAGATGTCTAATGTCTTCTGTCGCCTCCCGTTCATCCGCTCTTACAAACCCAGAGTCTGTGAGTGTTGATGGGTCAACAGCAGCATCTCTGTGAGTCACATGAAGAACCACAGGGATCTGCGACCTACATAACTCTGACCTGAAAACACAACGACAAGGGCAAGACGAACAGCTGGAAGGACGAGTGTGTGTGTGTGTGTGTGTGTGTACAGTGTGTGGTGAAGTACTTAAATCTTTTATTTCGAGGTAAAATATATCCATATATTATATTTAACTGTCTGTCTTTCAACAAAACAATGCTAATTAATTAAAACAGGAAACGTAATAACTGTCAGATCCAGATGTTTCTGTCGACGAGATGAAGAAATGTCGTCAATATGTCAGTAAAATGTTCACACACATTTTGTTTTCCACATCTTTAGTTTAATGATTACAGTCAGAGCGGCGGCCATCTTGTTTTCAGGTTGTCTGTCCGTCCGTCTCATTCTCGTGGACACGACATCTCAGTAACACCTTGATGAAAATCCTTCAAATCTGGCACAAACGTTCACCTGGACTCAATGATGAACTGATTAGATTTGGGTGGCTAAAGATCAAAGGTCAAAGGTCAAGGTTACGGTGACCTCAGAAAACATTTTTTTAGCCATTACTCAAGACTTCACACACAAATGGTTCATATTCTCTCTGACTCTGGATAAACAGGGATGTGAGCTGGGACCTCTGAGTGGCGGAGGGATACGACCACGAGGAGCTGGTTCTAGTTTTCCTGTGTTTTTCTTCATGCTCGTCAGAACTCGTCTTGCTTGTTTGGATTGTTCTCTGTCAGATCTGCTCCGCCACCTCCAGTCTGCCTCGGCATCTCCACCCTGCTCCACCGCTCCGACTCCTTTACCATAAACTGTGTGAATAGTGACCTGTTGTCCTCTCTCTGACCCAAATCAATAAAAGCAGAACTTTGTTCTTCAGTTAAAAAAAACCTCATGACGCTGTGACTTTGTAGTCATCAAAGTCACTGTCTTTCAACCACATATCATGGTCTTCATCTGTGTAATCTATGGGAGAGTTCAATTAACCTTCTTGTCAAACTACTGTCTCTAAAGTCAACAGCAAACTTTCTCTGTTCAATGACATGAAACTATCAGCTGCTTCAGAGGCTCCAACTGCTGATGACAAACGTCCTTTATCAGAAACAGTAAGAGGCCACAGTGAAACAGCTGATTAGAGTCCAGACTGAACTCAGTCATATCAGGAAGGCGTCTCTGCACTCATATAAAACTCAAGGGGGGGGGGGGTTTGGCATTTTTGGCACTTTGATATGTTAATATGTTAAATAATAAATAAATCTCCGGTTTAACTCTTTGATTCATGATCATCTTCATTGAAATGATGAAAAGTAAAGAGCCTCTACACTCAGAGATCCCTTTGTTCAGACTTTACCTTTGTGCTTTTTGCCCTGAGTTCAGACTCTCAGGCTCCTGTTTCTAGGGTACAGACGAAATCCAGCCCCTAAAAGCAGCCCATAATTTCAACCATATAATACTTGTACCTCATGACTGTGGAGGAGCAGGGACGTCGCAGGAGAAGTAATAAAGCATTTCCTTAATTATATATTTTAGTAGGCATTAAAAACAGAATTTGTAAAAAGAATTTATAAATGAACGATTTATCTATCAATAAATATTTCAGATTTAAATCTAGATTCATAAAAACAACATAAAACTTTATTATTATATGAATAAATAATAGAAATATTTTTTAGAAGTATTTATTGATGAATTAATCGTTCATTTATAAATTCTTGAAAACGGAATCCAGTTATTTATTCCCATTTTTTTTTAAATTCCTTTCCAAATAGTACATGGATTAATAAATGTATTTATAAATGGTTTATTTAATTAGAGTTCTATGCTGTTTTTATAAATCCATTTTTAAATCTTAAGTATTTATTGATGAATTAATCGTTCATTTCTAAATCCTTTTTACAATTCCTGTTTTTAATGCCTAAAAAAATGAAGGAAAGGCTTTATTACTTTTCCTGTGACATCACTGCTCCTCCACACATGACCACTGCCGACCACTGACACAATTCAAGGCTAAACATATAAATAAATCAAACTGTCCAGAAGATCATCGCTGCACATTCACAGAAAACGAATAAACTTGGTCTTTTTAAGATGGAATAATCATTAATGATGCCACAGATGCTCCGTGTCTGTTGGACATTCAGGGAGCTAAGTCAATTAATAATTTATAATTAGTGTACTTAACTTAAATAATTAATCATTTACTTATTAATTTATTCATTAAGAGTTAGTGCGGTCCATCACAATTGAAAACTCATAAAAACATTGTGCATCTTTCATGTGAAATCATTTCTCCTGAAGCAACATCACACGTTTTAGCTGTTAGCTCAGTAAGCTCTGTTAGCTCCATTAGCTCCGTTAGCTCTGTAAGCTCTATTAGCTCCGTTAGCTCTGTAAGCTCTATTAGCTCTGTTAGCTCCGTTAGCTCTGTAAGCTCTATTAGCTCTGTTAGCTCTGTTAGCTCTGTTAGCTCTATTAGCTCTGTAAGCTCTATTAGCTCTGTTAGCTTCGTTAGCTCTGTAAGCTCTATTAGCTCTGTTAGCTCTCTAAGCTCTATTAGCTCTGTTAGCTTTGATAGCTCTGTAAGCTCTATTAGCTCTGTTAGCTCCATTAGCTCTGTTAGCTCCGTTAGCTCTGTAAGCTCTATTAGCTCTGTTAGCTCCGTTAGCTCTGTAAGCTCTATTAGCTCTGTTAGCTCTGTAAGCTCTATTAGCTCTGTTAGCTTTGATAGCTCTGTAAGCTCTATTAGCTCTGTTAGCTCCATTAGCTCTGTTAGCTCCGTTAGCTCTGTAAGCTCTATTAGCTCTGTTAGCTCCGTTAGCTCTGTAAGCTCTATTAGCTCCGTTAGCTCTGTAAGCTCCGTTAGCTATGTTAGCTCCATTAGCTCTGTTAGCTCTGTTAGCTCCGTTAGCCGCTGCTGTCAGAGTGAAAGTGATAAAATATAAAAAAACATCCATGAACGGTAGAAAATCAACATTTAATCTACAGAGTTAGACAGGCAAAGTGAAGATATGGTCGTACTTCATTTCTGATCTCAACAGGTTTTTAGGCACAGGGACATACATTTAAAAATATCATATATTATAGCATATATTATTCTATGTAGCATAAAACCTCTTTACCATAACAACGTATGCACTTCATCATTGGCTGTACAAAAATACATTTAAATCTTTCTCTTTCTCTGCACATTGCGGGCGTCTGTGTGTTTGTATGTACTTGTGTGCACGTGCAAATGTGGGTATGTGTGTGTATACGTGTGTGTGTGTGTGTGTGTGTGTGTGTGTGTGTGGTCCTCTTCTTGCAGCCGAACTTCAGCCGAAGTCGATGCGTGGCCGGTACTCAAGAACCATGGGATACGTCTGAGAGAGCGACAGAGAGAGAGAGAAACAATCTTTAAAACAGAAACACGACGACGACGACGACGACTGCTGCTGTTACAGCATCAGCTACATGTTACATGTATGTTCAACAACATGTCTGTTCAAGTACAACAACACATTCACTTCATTATGGCAAAAATCATAATCACGATCACTTTGATCGATAGATTATCGATCACCATCACTCACTGACTTTGGAAACATTATTGAACTTTAAATTTAAATTTTTAAAGTTTATTTTTTTTAAATGCACTTCAACTGAAAAACTAATTAAAAAACTATTATTGACATAAAAAAATAAATAATATATTTCAGTCGGCCATTTTGTTTTCAAGTTGTCCGCCCATCTGTTTCTCGTGGACACGATATCTCAGTGACACTTTGAAGGAACATCTTCAAAACTGCCACAAACATTCACTCCGACTCAAGGACCAACTGATTAGATTTTGGGGGTCAAAAGTCAAAGGTCACTCAAGACTTCACATCAATTATGACAAAATTTCACACAAATGGTTCATATTTTATCAACAGATCAACAGAGATGTAACCTGGAACTAGTCTGAGAAAAAGTACTAAAAATAAGTAGTAAAAATACGGTATTTTAAGTATCTTAAAGCACAAATTCTTGCACCTGCATCAGTCTGTCTTTATCACGTGACGTCTCTATATAAAGTCTTATAGGACAAAACGTCCTGCAGTAACCCCAATGACACAAACACTCGCTGTGATGTTGATGTTGATGTCATCATCTGTCATGTGGCGTCTTCATGGCGAGTGTTTGGGTTAAGTAACAGATGTCAGCTCCGACTCTCGGTTCAGACTCGCCTCCTTTTGTCTGTAAAACGCGTCAGAATCAGTCAAATGTGCGAGTCGGCCGTTTCATGAAACATTCAGGGAGTGAAAAGGCGAGTGTTTGTGTCAGAGCAGCTGCAAAGTGAAAAGTGTGTCTCCTGGTTTTGGAGCCTGTCTCCTATTTCTGGCAGCTTGAGGCTGCTGGTGCAGCAGAGTACAGCTGCTGTCATCTCCTCCGCCTCTCTGCATTCTGCTGCATCATGTCTCAGGGAAAAAAAACAACAAAAACCAAAAAACAGAACAACAATCTAACCAGTCTGTCACTGCGCCTCTGTATCTGCATCCCTGACACTCTTTCACTCAGCATTTCTGTCTCCACACACTTTAATTATAACGTACTAACACACACACACACACACACACACACACGCTCGGTGCAGCTGTCAGCTAGTTTTAAGGGATTTTGTTCTGGTGTCAAATAAACTGAAATGTAGAATCGTCTTAACGTGCAGCACAAGCAGAAATCCAGCACGGAGAAAAGAGAGGAAACTAAATGTGCTGTCAGATGCTGCTTGGTACGAACACAAGTGACAAGTTAACTGGTTTTACCTGGTGCATCACCTGTAGGAATCTGTGGTCTCACACCTGAAGCTAATATCCTTTACTTTAATGCTTTTTAAGGAACTAAAATTCATCCAGTGTCCAGACTGTGAAGGATTCGTCCTCTGGGGATCCTGAATATTCACATTTTGAATTTCATGAAAACCTGTCAACCGTTCAAATCTCGTTATGAAGCAAAGTCAAGTGGAAATTGTGACGAGGTAGAAACTCATGTTGGCGCTGGAGCAAAAGTGGAGGCGGTGTGACGTAGTTATAGAGCCACAAAACCTCATAGGGAGGTGTCAGGGGGGATCATGGTGGGCGGCGCCTGACCACGGTGGCGTGGCGTCCTCAACCCTCCAGAACTCCTCAATAAAATATAAACAGGTGAGTTATATAAATCAGCTCTAGAGACCAAAACAGTTTTTGTACCAGGCTGTAAACATGTTTATTTCTGCTGTAAAGACATTTTAACATGGGAGTCTATGGGGACTGACTCACTGTTGGAGCCAGACTCTAGTGGTCGTTAGAGGAACTGCAGCTGCTGGTTCTTCTTCACGTTTCAGTCGACAAAGTTTCTAATTTTAAGATGATACACTGCTGTTGATCGACACTGGTTTATATCAACACTGAGTTGTTTCGATCTGTCTGGTCATGACGATGACAGACAGTTTGTCTGAAACACAATATAATCTGAGAGTTGATCATTTTATAGAGTTGGATATCTGACTTGAACAGCAGCTGATGGGGATCATGTTTTTATTTGTAACTAACCACCGTTTTTTCAACCAACACACAAACCTTTTAAATTTATTGTTTTCTCAAAACTAAGTGCAAGAATCTATAGAAACAGACCAGTGTGCTCATTTCTTAGGAAACCTCTCTGTCCTTGTCGGGATCTGTGTTAATATCTTTCAGCCATTTCTTTCCCTCTGTGTTTTTGTTCTTTAGGTCCTAAACTCTGTTGTCGTTCACAGCCCAACAAATTTACCTCGACACCCTCGACTCGCACGAGGAAAAACTCAGAAGGTCGGTCTTTCTCTGGATGGAGCGTTTGCTCGAAGGTGTTGAGGAGAATGTTTTGTGTTTCACTCTAACGTTGTGTCCATCACTGAGGCCAGAAGCTGCTGCTGGATCTACACCTGGATCTGATTAGTGTTAACGAGCTGATTCCACGGCCAATAATAATAATAATAATAATAATAAAAATGTGATTCTGAGAGACAGATCTCAGCAGGGTAAATGGGGGGCGTATTCGTCACCACCTGCCTCTCCTCATCCTCTGCAGTCACCACACAGCTCAAGTGACCAATCACAGAGATTTTTAGTCCAGATTAAGACAAATTGATCGCATGTGTCATTATTTATTTATAACCAGACTCACTCTCGCAACAGTGACAGTCAAAGTGGCAGCCATATTGTTTTCTGGTCCGTCTCATTCTTTGTGGACGAAATATCTCAGGAACGACTTGACTACAAATTTGGCAGAAACCTTCACTCGGACTCAAGCATGAACTGATTAGACTCTGGTGGTCAAAGGTCAAAGGTCAGTGGGACCTCACAAAACGTGTGTGTGTGTGTGTGTGTATACGTTGGAAGGAAAAACAAAGCCGTGCTCTGAAGTTGTGAGAAGCTTGAGACTGATGAATGACTCGTATCTTCTGTCCCTCCAAGGTGCGAGCGCACCTGACTTTTGAAGGGAATGGGAGATGGCACTGTGATCGGTTTATTGGATGTTACTAAGAGATTAAGTCCAACCCCTTTGAAGCATGCGCCTGGAGCGGCGACTGTTTTTACCGCCGTTAAAATGGCACAAAAGACATGGACACGCCCTAAACGCACTTGCGCCACGCGCTTCAGACCATGAGCTTTGGATCGTTAACGAAGAGCCCAAAGAGTGAAATGTCATTATAATCTGTAGCATCTGGACGTCTGGGTTAAAACTGGGTTTAAAAGGCTCAGAAGAAGTTTGTGAAATAATCATATTAATGTGAAGCAAGTCGTAACGAAACTTTGAAATGCAGTCGCTGTTTAAAGTTTTAATCTGTAACTTTTCCACATTAAAACAACAAGTTCTATGTTCTATATGTTGAGCTGTGTTCTTACGTTATTATTCTTACATTGGTCGCCTGTCAGTGACATCATACCCTCTATGATCAGGTGGCAGTGTTTTCTGGTTTCCTGACAGAAGCTCAACATTGACTTTGATCCAGTTTTAAGCCACAGACACTTTTTACACCTCGGTGGTTTTCAGCTCGTTGTTTGAACCAGATGAAAGATTTTAGTCGTCGGACGTCTGGATCTGAAGTTGAGAAACAAGCTGAGGAAACGTTCGACAGCTCAGCTCTTGTGGCCGCCTGTTTGTTGTGGAGAGGAGGACTCCTCTGTGGATCATTCAGCTGCTGGTAAAACCCTCCTGAACGTCTGGTTCCTGAGTTATCAGAGAAACAGTCAGAACAAAGTTTAGCATCAACCTCAGTCTCTGCTCCCCGAACAGCGTCGCTCAGACTCTGACTTTAAATGTGAAGCTGCTTCATTCAGAGTTTCTAACGCCATCTTTTTTGTTTGTTTTTTTTTGATTGAGAGCGGCAGAAGTTACAGACTGAGTTTAACTACATTTAGACCAGTTTTAATTTGAGTTTCCGCCCTCAAAGACACAGGTTGTAAAAAACTAAACTGCCCTCGAGTGGCTGTGACGGGAAACGTTTCTAAACTGGTTCCAGCAGCTGATCAGGACTGATCCGTCTGACGTGACGTCCGTCGGCCTCTTTCTGCCGCGCATCATCAATAAAAGTCTCTCTCACAGTAACGGCTGCTGGGGGGAACGACTCGGAGCGATCGCTTGCCAGAGTTGTGCACTTTGAATGATTAGTTTTATATCGTCCCGGGTCCTGCAACGCAACATTTACATAAAAGTGTCCAGATGGAAAAATGACAATGTGTGCTCGCCACACGGACGATCTGCAGCTGGTGATTACATCAGAAGGACGTGGGTTCAAACCGGATGAATGAGGTCAGACAATGTTGGGAAAGAGGCGGCAATTTGTTCTTTGTTTTTCTGCTCATGAGCCTTTTTTATTTTCTATTCCTCAGCGCCGGCGACATTTTGCAGCCATTTTGTTTTCAGGTTGTCCGTCCGTCTGTCCCGTTCTCGTGGACGCGATATCTCCGTAACGCCTCGAGGGAATTCCTTCATATTTGGCACAAACGTTCACCTGGACTCAAGGACGAACTGATTATATTTTGGTGGCTAAAGGTCAAAGGTCAAGGTCAGTGTGACCTCACAAAAAACTTTTTAGCCATTATGACCAGAGGGATACAACCATGAGGAGGTGATTCCAGTTTTTAATTAACATTACACTGGGACATCATCACGCTGTGGATGATGATTACATTATGACTGGGAATAATAATCACACATGCAGTTATTATTTTTTTCTTTCTCCATCTCCTCTCTCTGCAGATGAGAAACATCTCAAATGATATTTTTAGCTCTGGAAAATAAGGATTTATTTAATTTATTTAAAAACAGATTCCTGAAAATGACTCTCTCTACATGTGAGCACAGCTGGAGCTGAGAAGCTACAGACTTTATAAGTCTCATACTGTCTCCTTCCCTCCTCCTCCTCCTCCTCCTGCCCTGGTATGTGATGCCTCCTCCTGCGGTGCCAGCTGTCTGCGCTCCTCACTCGCCCTCCACTTGTGGACGGCACCTTTCACTGGCTAATCGTTCATGTGAATACGCACGTGCAGATAAACAGATCGCCATTCAGTCGCAGAGTGCAGGAATGTATGCACTCACACACACGAGCACTTAAACTGTAGATGGACATCATAAAAACACACACACACACACACACACACACACACACACACACACACACACACACACACACACACACACTGGCCCACTGAACCACAGCACTGATGACCCTGAAGTCTGAGGCTGACAGCGGCGGCACGTTTCAGACTAAAGGACAACAACTCCTGCTGTGTGTGTGTGTGTGTGTGTGTGTTGTATTTCCATGTTTGTGAGGACCAATCAAACTTTTAGATGTTCTCCTGAAGTGTTGTCCTCTTGTCTTTAAAGGAGTGTGAGGCTCGTGTCTTTGTCTCAGGGTTCAGAGTCAGGATCAGGTTTGAGTGTTGGGACGGTTGAAGTCAGAGTGAATGTTCTCTAAAGTGTTTTATGTTGATGTTTGTCGATGTTGTTGATTCTCATTTCCCAAACCACACATGGACCACGTGTCTCTTAGTCTTAACGAGACTAGACGATATCCAGAATGTAAAATCTTGATATAGTCTAAATATTATCGCAGGAGTGGAGAGGTTATAATATTTTAATATAATATATTTTATAATACTTTTATAATATAATTATATTTTACTTTATAATTAGTTATATAATTGTATAATTGTATTTTATGTTTCAGGTAGCAGTTCATAGTTTTCTTCATTTGTCACATGACAGGGACAATGTACAGTGAGCGAAGAGAAATGAGACAGACAAGGTGCAATTTGTTAGAAAAATAAAAATTAATAATTATATATACATGTATATATTATAAAAAGTATCGGGGTGTCGAGCGGCGCAGTGGGTTGAGCAGGCGCCCCGTGTGCAGAGGCTGCAGTCGGTTTGAATCCCGCATCGGACGGCCCTTCACTGCGTGTCATTCCCCCTCTCTCCGCCTCCCTATTTCCTGTCTCTCTCTGCACTATCAATACAGGCATAAAAAGCCCAAAAAAACCCCAGAAAAATATCGCAGGAAGTATCGTAATATCCGATATTATTGAATATCAGTCCAAGCCTCGTCTTAACATTGACTCTCTCTACTTTCCTTCTGTTCTAGTCAATTATAAAAAGTTATTCATTCTGGTTTAATTATTTCAATAAATACAGACCTGTGAAGAACTTTCAGTAGTTCTGGTCATTATTCATATTGTCTATGATGCAAATTATTTAACAGGAACCTCGTGTACGTTTCTAAAATTCCCCCAAAATGATGTAAAACACTTCAGAGAAAGTCGGAGTCAAACCAAAACGCTCAAAGATGAAATATTGAAAAAAAAACCAAAAAGCAGCGCAGATTGACTTCAGCTGAGCCACTGGAGCATATGAAGCTGTAGAGTAGCTAATACGACGTGAGTAAATATTTAATGTTTGTAAGTGTTTTACGTGAAGCTTTGGCATGAGAGCATACACAGTAATATAAAAGAAGCCAGACTTTCTTTCAAGCTGACTGGCTCTGGTTTCTGCTCACAGAACAACAACAACACAAAACTACACATTAAACGTTTCTTCTCAAACAGTTTGACGTCAGAATTCCTTCTTTTATAGAATCTGAGTCACCGAAGATTCTTGGAAGAAACTTTCTTCATGCAAAAACCATTTTTAATGTTGAATAGAGAAGTCATTCAACCAACACTAGTTTTCTCACACACACACACACACACACACACACACACACACACACACACACACACTTATACTAATTCTGAGAACACTCTGTTTATTTACTTTCATTCTTACGCGACCCTAATCATACTGAAACCTCCCCGTCTAATTTAAAACCTCCACTTTTAAACTACATGTTAACCATTAAATAGGAGTTCGACCTCACGGGTCTGAGCCCTCAGTCTCTCTCTGAGGCTGTGAGCCCCCACAGTGTGAGGGAGTGCAGAGCGCCTGCACACATATGCACAAAAAAATGACTTCCTGTAGCAGTGCAGCGACACATTAGCATGCAAACATGCACACACAAACAGGAAGCGAGGGTGACAGCCTTACATTCTCTCCATGTAGCCTCCACCGGGTCATGTAGATGAACTCCAGAGTGTGATCTCTGCCCATGATCTCTCCGTTACACAGCACATCCAGCTGGACGCACAGGAGGGAAAAATATGGTCAGAAACAAGTTAATCCTCTGAGCTCTCAGGGCTTTTCCTCCATTTCTACATTAGTTCTTCAGGTACTTGCATATAAAATAATAAAGTGTTTCATATCACAGTTTTCATGCTCTTTCTATAATGAGACTCTTTGGACTGTGCGAAGACATCATTTGGTCCAAATGCTGAAAAACTGAAGCCCAGTTTTTTGAGATTCTTATGAAAACATACATTTACTGATGTGGAAGAATCGAAGAGTTTGAAGAGTGTTGACCAAAGTGTAAGGTTTATAGAAATAGAGCAACATGTGAGTAAAATAGTAGATAAATGTTCAATAAATGCCTAAAATGAAAAGTGTTGTCTGTCTCTCTACTTTAACCAAATTTTTGAGGCCTTCTAGCTCCGCCCACGAGTCACGTACAATCTGGCAAAGATATTAATAGAAGCATCCGTCGACCTCAGAGGGTTAAATGTAATTATTTCCACAAGATGAAAGAACAAAAAAGAAACTGGTTATTTTTATCTAGGGGTCAAAATGACAATCTGATGCAGAGAGCTGTCAAAGACATGGAAACACAAATATAAAGGGTTTCAGTCCTGATGCACAACATGAAGTGAGAGGGGAAGTTCACTGTGGCAGTGAGTGGGAGGCTGCACCGACCGAGCGAGTGTGTTACACCAGTTTCAGCTCCGTCTGCAGCCGGCAGTCTTTATGCTCTGATAAAGCTGACTGCTGATAATGATAATAAGGAATGGATTATTAATGAGCATCTGGCTTCACACAGACCGGTTTCAGAGTCAAAGTGAACCTGGTCAGAGTCTGACTTCCTGTCTGAGGTCTCTGTTCTCTATGAAGCTGTGAGGCGTCGTCTCTGTTTGGTTTTCTTTGTTTTCTTTGTTTATTTTCTTAAAACTGAAATGTTAAAGTTATTTTAGCAAAATAAAAAAAATAAATAAATAATTTTATGTCTTCTGCACGGTGGAGTGTTATCAGAGGTGTCTGTGGATATTTATACCAATGCACTAGCTAATCATAAAACACTTGACAGTTCAGATAAACGAGCCTTAGTCTGCGTTACACTTGCTAACATTTTGCAGTAAGCTAGCCAGTTAGCCTCATAATCTGTATGAGTCTATATTTTTGCACAACTTTCAGCCCTGGTATTCATCTTTGTAGAGGTTTACGTTTATGATTTCCAAGGTTTCCAAGAAAGCTAGTTCATCCTATTGATATTTAGCATTTGAGCTAAGCTAAACTATTCTGACTGATCAACATATTGTACCCAAGAATAGCCAAGTAAAAAAAATCTTTCATCGTCAGTTTAACTCAAAGCTATGTTGCTATGCTATATATCATTTAAAAGGGCTATTTGTAAGTTTTCTGCTATTGCTACAAAGCTAACGTGAGCATCAACAACTGTTTACTTACTAGTCTAGAAGAAACGTTGCTCTTCATTATTTTACTCACAAAGAGCTGTGTCCAGTTGTGGACAGCAACGCCAAGCTAACTACTGTTTTGCTTCTATTTCTATCGCTAACTATTCGTCTACTAAAGTTAGCATGTTTCCCAGCTAGCTAGTCTCAACACTTTCCGATACCGCGTCGCTATAGCGTCGAGAAGTAGCTGCTCAGATGAAGAATAATAACCTCTTGTGTTGTAAATACAACAATGGCTGAAGCTCTAGGCAAGACTGGTCGGTAAACAGCTGTTAATGCTAATGCTAATGTTAGCTATGTAGCAATAGCAAAACTTACAATGCGCTCCTTTAAACAGGACTGTAGTTTCTGAGCTGGAGGACAGAAGCTGCTCCTTACCTCATAAGAGCTGGGCAGCTTTAGTTTAAGACTGAGAAACTTCTTAATTGTTCCCACGGTGACTCGACTGGAGCAGCGGATGAACCTCTTCATCAAATCCTAATTGGACGAGATACAAATTCTGTTACACTCTGATTTAACAAGAGAGGCAGCGAAAAGACGACTATAGATTTTCCCAGGAAGAGACCTCAAAACAATCAGAGCTTTACAACGGGTCCGATATCGACCGTCTGAGAAGCTTCGGACCAAGTTTCCTACAAAACTGAAACATATGAAGATGTTTTTCAAAGTTTGTGTATTAAGAAACTACTTAACACCTCTTGGTGACAGTTATACTGAAATGAAATAATAATTATTATTGATTTAAAGACACGCACCGTGACAGTGCTCTCCCCTGACTGTCCTGTGTTACGTAGGCAGTCCAGACAGATGGCTATCTGAGGATCACTCCTGTGGTAGTCGTCATTGCCGCCACCGTCACCGTCGTCGCCGCCACCGTCGCCGCCGTCGCCTCCAACATCAGGCAGCCCGAACCTCTGGCACCTCAGGTTTTCTGCTGAAGTTTGCGGTATCAAAAATAAAAAAAACTCCATTACAAAATGTCCTTTAAAACCTGAGTTTCTCAATTTCTTAAACTGTATACTAAGATTTTAAAATGTCTTAATGATTAGGATTAAAAGATGCTGAACGAATTAATTATTGCCCCCTATGAACAACAGTACAAGTCCTGTTTGCAGCAGAGGAGCTTAATTTGGCGTGTTTGATGTATGAACAGGAAATTCCCTAAATTCAGCGCTGCCCCAGATTCACATGAACAAGCTCAAAATATGATGAATAATCAAATGATGATGAATCAAAACCCAATCAAAAACTCCCCTGATGTATTGATTTCACCTCTGAGAGAGAGACAAAGTATCAGTTACCAGAGTTACCAGGGGACCTCCCTCCCTCCCTCCTCAAAAAATGGTGTTTAATTTACAGTGAATATTCAGTCTGGGTGACAGACAGCGTTTATACCTTGGCCGTTTTCTTTGGGCTGGTTCTTCCTCCAGAATTCGAGTTCCTGCTGTTCCTCTCCTAGTCGACAGATAAAAGGAAGACGGCGTCAGACACACAGAACAGCATTCACACACACCGAGCCCACGCCTGACTTCGTGATAGTGCTTTAGATATTCTACTGATTGAAATCCTGTTTCACAACAGCAGAGAACGCAGTTTGTCTTTATTAAATTTAGCGTGAAATTAAGTTATTTGGGGTGTAATGGAAGATTTTTATACTAAATTGATAAATACAAGGTGCTTTACATCCAGCCATAAAGAAAGAGACCTAAGCTTATCAAACAGGCTGCAGCAGCTTGTTCCTTCTGTCCAGGCACCAGACACTGATTTATAGGCCAGGGATGGTGTTCTCTAATATGAGCCACCTGCACTAATTTTACCACGGCTGCAGAAGATAAAACACTGTATAGGTGCCCAGGAGCATATGGCTAATATTTTCTCTCCAACAACGCAGTTTGGACCTGTAGTGAAATCTATAAAAGCATGTCTTTACTCTCTCAGTGTTTTTCTCTATACCAGCGTTCTCTCGATTCATACTGAGTAACATCTATTTCATGCTTCATCCTGAACATTCAGAAGCAAAGTTGCATTCGCGTCAGAGCAGGTGGCTCGACTTTAAAATGCAAAGCAACGCTGTGCGTGGATGTGACGCGCGTCTGCTCTTCTGAAACCATAAAACAAGAATTCGTATGAGGCAGATTTTTACACCACTTGGCTGAGCGGTGCGAGCGTCAAAAAAATATATGATGTTTGTTCCGTCTGCGGGCTGCCAGAGCGCTCTGTCAGCGGAGGTGAAGTTATGGAGTCATAAAATTATAGTGCCATCACAGCTTTAGTTAGACATGTTGACTTGGCTCCTCGTTGGCCCCACTGCAGAGAGAAAGGTTGTACATCTTCATCTTGTTTTAAACTCTTGAGCGTCCCGCCTCCTCTAAAAATAAAGTGACGCTGACAAACGAATACGTCTCTGATGTCAGTGGCAGCTCCCCTCCATCTGATAAGATGATCTGTTACAGCGCAGCACCTCAGGAGATGGTAGGAATTTTGTTTTGATCAAGAGAACTTGATGCTGGTGGATGATTTCCAGCCATGTGGGATTGAACCCAGGTCTGTCATGTGACGGTCATCAGATCTGATTCATTATTAGCTTTGATACGCAGTGTTAATAGAAAATAAGAACTAATTGATGGTAAAACCTCGAATGAATGAGTGTTACTCTTTGGGTGTTGCTCAGCGCAGTACGTTGTTGGCAAGAGGTTGTAGCTGGGAAGCGTTGTGTTAAGACATTGCTAGGTGGTTACAGTGTCTTGCTAAATGGTTGCTAGGATATTCTTGGTGATGGTGTTGCCAAATGGACACTGAGGTGTTTTTGTTGGTTTTCAGGGTGTTGCTAACGAGTTGCTATGGTGTTCTTGGTGAAAACAGCAGTAGTACAGTGTTTGTCTGTGTTTTTATGCAACAGCTAAACACAAAAACCTTCACTCACTTCTCCTCAATAAGCCTCAATGATATTATGTGTATGTGGCATTGTAATAAATTCTTTGTGTGTCTTTTGATTAATGTCGTGATTGCTGCGCTGTCGTTTACTAAATTATTTTTCCTACCTCCCGTGAATTGTCACATCATTTGTCATGGAAACTGAGGAAACAGACGGATGAAATCGTCTGGCAAACTCACTTTCTCTGAGTCCGGGCACCAGCTTGAAAATGATCTCCTCCAGGGTGTTGTCCAACCTGAGAATAAGGAGAGAAGGGAGTGTGAGAAGGAGGTGAAAAGAGAGAGAAAGGCGATAAAGAGGTCAAGAGGAAGTTAAATGGGGGATAGAAAAACAATTAAAGTAGGTGGTGGGTTAAGAAGAGAGGCAGTAGTGGAGGTAGAGGAGAGAGGGATCAGGGAAAGAAAGAAATAAGGGGGAAACTAATAAAATGGAGGTGAATGGAATTGAATTGGTGGTACTCAAACTTAGAGAGAAAGAAAGTAAAGAAGCTCAGTCAAATAAAAGTGAAGACGAAGCAAGAGGAAGAGGAAGCACATCCTACCTGAGCATCTCCAGTGGGTTGGTCTCATGGACCTGAATGCCACATTTAGGACAGTCATTACTCTCCTCAAAGTGCTGCACAATACAGCTCTTACAGACTGCAGAAGAAACAACATCAACATTTGCTATTGGGGTTAAATAAGAATCTCCAGTGGCAAATATTTATCATGACAGTTTGACTGCTTCTTGTTTAAGTCTGCACACAAAAATAAAAAAGCTTGCTAGCTTGCTCTAGCAGGTTAGCTCGCTCTAACAGGTTAGCTTGTTCTAGCAGGTTAGCTCACTCTAACAGGTTAGCTTGTTCTAGCAGATTAGCTCACTCTAGCAGTTAGCTCGCTCTAACAGGTTAGCTTGTTCTAGCAGGTTAGCTCGCTTTAGCAGGTTAGCTTGTTCTAGCAAGTTATCTCGCTCTAACAGGTTAGCTTGTTCTAGCAGGTTAGCTCGCTCTAGCAGGTTAGCTTGTTCTAGCAAGTTAGCTCACTCTAAAAGGTTAGCTCACTCTAACAAGTTATCTTTTTCTAGCAGGTTAGCTCACTCTAGCAGGTTAGCTTGTTCTAGCAGGTTAGCTCACTCTAGCAGGTTAGCTCGCTCTAACAGGTTAGCTTGTTTTAGCAGGTTAACTCGCTCTAGAAGGTTAGCTCACTCTAACAGGTTAGCTTGTTCTAGCAGGTTAGCTTGTTCTAGCAAGTTAGCTCACTCTAGCAGGTTAGCTTGTTCTAGCAGGTTAGCTCACTCTAGCAGGTTAGCTCGCTCTAACAGGTTACCTCGCTCTAGAAGGTTAGCTCACTCTAACAGGTTAGCTTGTTCTAGCAGGTTAGCTTGTTCTAGCAGGTTAGCTCACTCTAGCAGGTTAGCTTGCTCTAACAGGTTAGCTTGTTCTAGCAGGTTAGCTCACTCTAGCAGGTTAGCTTGCTCTAACAGGTTAGCTTGTTTTAGCAGGTAAGCTTGTTCTAGCAGGTTAGCTCACTCTAGCAGGTTAGCTTGCTCTAACAGGTTAGCTTGTTTTAGCAGGTAAGCTCGCTCTAACAGGTTAGCTCACTCTAGCAGGTTAGCTTGCTCTAACAGGTTAGCTTGTTTTAGCAGGTAAGCTCGCTCTAACAGGTTAGCTCACTCTAGCAGGTTAGCTGGCTCGCTCACAAGCTTGTTAACTCACATGGTGTTAGGTTAGCTTGCTACAGTACCGTCCCAAGCTAATTACCTCACTTGCTGTTGGGTTGCCTGGCTAGCTTACTCTCTAACGTGCTCAGTACATTACCCACAAATTAGCAAACTGTTAGTCTCCAGATGAAATGTCAGAAAAATGGGAAAAACAAAATGGTGACACTAAACAAAAAGCCTAATTAGCTATATTTCCAGCAGTTTAGTAATGTGAATGTTTTTCCCAGTTATCTGCTCACAATAAAATATTCTGAACAATATGACATGAATGCAGCATTAGCCTTAAAGCTGAAACAATTTGTTGATTTATAAATAAGTCAAATCAAAAAAAAAAAGAAAAAAAAAGGCAATTATTTTGATAATAGATTGAGTGTGAGAGAGAACAGTGTGAAAAAATATAATAAATAATATATTTGCAGAATTTAGCCTCTTAAAAGAGAAGCTTTGCTGCTTTTTGTAATGTATGTTTGTAGAGTGAGTATTTGGGGGTTTGGTCAAACACAACAGGATGTGAAGACCGAACCTTCAGCTCAGTGAAATGTTTTGACACTGAATCGATTTTATACAAATCCTAAACTCAAGTATTAATAAATGAAAAAAGAATTAATCGATAATGATAATAATTGCAGCCCTGATTAGCTTTCTAACTAACGGTTAGTTGACAATAGTGTGTTTGAGTGTAGTGAGTGAGTGTAGTGCGACGTCACCTTCAGTGACAAAGGGATCACGTGTGTGTTTGTGTGTGTGTCTGTTGTTTCACTCACAGGTGTGCAGGCACTCGGTGACCGTGGTTGGTTTAATCAGGTAACCTCGACACAGGTAACAGGTGATGAAATGATTAAAGTCTCTCACCAAGTGCTTCCTTCCTGTAGCGGCCATGTTTGTAGTTTTTTTTTTTTTTGGTTTTTGTTTTATTTTTTAGTGGCGCTGCAGCAGGAAAACTGACCTGGAGTCAGAGTTACAGTTTAAAGTCAGACGTCCATTCAAAACAATGAGCAATGGGAAGGTTTCGGGAGACAGGCTGCTATCGCCTGCTTGAGTTTACGAATGTTTATAGTTTAAAGATGAGTTCACCAACACTGGCTAATGGTAGTCCAGGTTTCACTGTCCACAACGTCTGAGCGGTTGGTCCTACTGTGTAAAATCCTGCTCCATCCTTGACTCAAAGTATTTTCTGTAATCAGTTTCTCTTCAGGAACATCTCCCACTCACGCCTCACTCCATCTTCAGCGCACCATGCCAGTCCCATTGAAATAAAAAGAAGACACCAGCTGGTCCGGTCTGTGCGGCGCCGCTTCAATCCAACACGTTTGTTAAATTCCCAGAATTCCCAGAGAGTAAGACGTCTCGCTTCCCTCCCCGTCTCTGCCCGAGTGCCATTTTTAATCCATGAGGGGTCAAAGGTCAGCAGACCACTTGTGTGTAGCCGGCCTCATCCCAGAGCGTTCAGTCATCATTACAGTGCTGCTGCTGTTGATGTCTGACACACGGTGACACTCGTCCGTGTGGCGGCTTTTTATCTCAGTGAATAAACCTGGAGAATAAAACACACGTCAGAGTTGAACAGGTTTGTGGTTTGTGCAGATTAAAAAAGAATGGAAAGATATGTTGTTGGAGATATTCACATACATATCATATACACACCCCTGCACCCACACACATACAGTATAAACAACATAAATTGTAAAACACTTCAATTAGACAAAGAAGAAGAGAAGACTCAGTAATGTGATATGTTTCTGAGAAAACATGATTCATCAACTCTCAGATAAATTCATTGTGGTGTCACTGACGTGTAACAGATCAACACAGGGAAACAACGACCACACAGGCTCCATGTTCTCCGCCTGTGAACCGGCTCAGTTACTGTAAAGGTCACTGATAAAGCTTGGATGAAACCCAGACACTTGTTAACGTCACCTCACTGACTTCCTGACTCAAACAACGGATTTAATAACAACTCGCTGCCATTTGAAGCCGTCAGTTGACTGTCACCTCCGGCAGCTTTACCTTGTCATTTATCAAACAAATATTCAGATCCGCTCTGCCGACGCAACAACTAAGAACTTTGTTGAAGAGCAACGAAAAAATACTTCTTGAACTGTCCCCAGAACCATCAACCCTCCAGGACATGAGACAAAATGTCTACAGCGTCCACGCCGGCGACAACCAGAGACAGAGGCATTCTGGTCTCCGGTTGTCCATCTGAATTCAGGTACATTCGTCCAACTCATTCTCGTTAACGTGATATCTCAGTAACGCCTTGAGGAAATTTCTTCAAATTTGACAGAAACATTCACTCGGACTGAAGGATGAACTGATTAGATTTTAGGGGTCAAAGGTCAAGGGTAAAGGTCACTGTGACCTCACAAAACATACAAAAAACGCACAGTATCTCGGGAACTCCTCAAGGGAATCCCTTCGAATGAGGCGCAAATGACCATTCGGACTCAGGGATGAACTGAGGTCAAACAAAGGTCAACTTCACTGTGACATCATAATGTTCTACAAAAACACTCCTGGCCATTATTGGACGCTGTACCTCAGGAAGGAGACACTGTGACTGGCTGGTTGATGAAAACCCAGGACCTCATCACAAATATAATCACATGCAATGATTCTGGCTTGTTCTGCTTTCAACACAATTGAGAGATTTTCCAGAAAACTGCTGCAATTTAAGATGAACAACATTCATTTTCTTTAAGGGTTCATTACTCATGAACTCACTTGCCACGCATTGTACTGGCTTTCCAGCTGCAGTGGTTGTATATCTGGACGGATTTGTGGTGAAGCAAGACCCACAACCCTTTTTTTTATCTGGTCTCCCCATCGAGAGGAAAGTAATGTTTGTCAGTGCTGTTAAAAAAATGATTCATACGACACTTTCTGATCTGATTATGGACGGGGGGAGATCACAATTTAAAGAAAAAGAAAAACAGTATTGAGTGTTGGCAGGAGAAGTGATGCGATGTGTGGTGTCAAGGTTGGACGCTTCACCACCCTGACCTCCTCCTAAATTGGTTTTGTTGGTTGCACTAACAATGCTGCGTTTCTTTCATTTCTCCTCTGAGAGGCAACAGTCAGTGTTTGATGACCGCAAGAAGTTCAACGTCAGTCAGACACAAAATACAGATTCATTCACAACAACAGATACAGTCATTTACTTATTTCACAGATGTACGTGTGTCTGCGTTATCTGGGTTTTTGTTTTAGTTTGCTCTTTCCGAGCAGTTTTGATGTGATGCGTTCATCACATCCAGTAATTACTGTGGTTGTTTGTAACTAACAGTGACATGAACATTGGTCCAACAGGACTGTAGCGGGTCTGACCTACATGCATCCGTCTCTGGATTACCATTTACTATGAATAGCTAAAACTCGCCCCCATTCCATCCCCACTTTGATGGATCTGAATGAATTTTGGTTTCCCCGCTTGGAGCAGACACCGGGCTGAATGTGGAGCTTCACGGCGGTGAAGCCCATACGTTTCATATTTACTGAGCTTTTACAAACCATTTATTTTAATGGGACAGCCTCGGTTCTGCTGTTACAGTAAATGAAGAGAGCGAGCCGCTGAATGTTTGTGGATGTGAGATTAGGCGCTGTTCTCAGGTCTGATCCATTCCCTTTGTAAACATCACAGCGGCCCCTCCGTGACTTGATAACAGGCCACCATCAAATACTAATCATCATACAAATTAGTGCAATAACAGTCACTGAATAAACTGGCAGGACGTATTTATTTACCCCATCCAACACTTCACATGACTAAGATGTTTGCCATAAATTCACCTGATATGTAATTAACGTCAGAGTCAAAATGAGTCACTGTGAGTTTTGGTGGGTTGACCTGCCACAGCTTCATTATATAGGAACATAATTCACAGCAGCAGAAGTAAACAACACAACAGCTCTGTGTAAACTCACTGCATATAACACACACACCTATAAGTTACTGTAGGAACATCTGAGGTTTGTGGCCACAGACTAAAATAAAGCTACGGCCATGTTTTAAAATTACAGAAAATGTATTTGCTACAAGAGAGCAATAATCAAAAGTAAAAAATTTGACTCACTAAAAGATGCAAATATTAACTTAATATTGTGTCTGCCTTGTGCATGAAATGCGCTCTATAAATAAATAAAGTTAAAGAAACTCATACATACGAGATGCTTCATAATTGTAACTATGTAAAGTCTAGGATACTTTTATTTTATTATTAATTTATATTTAAAGGTCCCATATTTTACACTTTGAAGTGTTGATAGAAGATATAAAAACCATCTCAGTGTAGTTTTACATCTCCTCTCTCAGGCTTCTCTCTGGAGCTCTAGTAACTACAGTTCGGTGAGCCAATCAGAAGAGAGGAGGCTCTGAGCCTCTCTTCTGATTGGCTGACTGTTTTCTGAGTGATCCAATAAAAATAAAGCAGATTTCAGGTAAAAACACTCAGAGAAACCAAATCCTGCAAGGTTTGGATGGTGGGTCCAGGTGGGCGGGGCTTGGTGACTGCTTTGTTGTGACATCACAAAGTTACAGAAGTCCTGACGGCTGGTTTTAAGGCTCAGTTTCTGAATACAGGCTGTGTGCATTTCTCTGTGGACTGAGGCTTTGATACTTTCACAGTATTAATATAGAAGCTAGAGCTGATCTATAATCACACTACACATGGACAGAGACCTTTACACTGGAGGAGCTTTAACACATGAAATCTAAACACTGCACAAAACAACAACTCCAACAAGCTCAGTCCTTGTAACTATTGTGATGAGCTGCAGTTACACAGTGAGTTAGTATAGTTACAGTAACCAAGTTACTCAGTAAAACTCATCCTGTGTATTCATATTAGATAGATAGATAGATAGATAGATAGATAGATAGATAGATAGATAGATAGATAGATAGATGTGTCCAGTAGCTCATTAGTAATAATAATAATAATGGTAGTGGATAATAAATAATATACAAAAATAATTAAAGTCCACTTCCTTTGGCTGAGGTGTTATTATTATTATTTTTATTAGCATTAATTCTAGCTACAGGCTAATTATGACATACTGTCTAACATTTTTAACAAAGTCATTAAACTGACTCACATTGTCACATTGTTGATATATGAAATCATTTTCTAAATCATTAGTAAACTTCTATTGATGATTGATTAGCTCACGGCCTAGATACAGTACACCTGTCATGTGAATCAATGTAGCTGTTGACTCACTATTTCCTGTAGGGCTGTTTCAACTAGTTTCACCTGGGGTCACACTTTATCCTCGTGTGCAGCTTCCATCATTTCTGAGATGACGTCACATACCCTGCGTGCTGTCAGGCTGCCTGTGCGTCAGGTGTGTGGACAGTGAACAGAGCTGGATTCAGGCAGTTGTTGTTTTTTCCCTCTCTGCAGAAACAAAGTGCACACAGAGGAAAGTGTTCAGACTCCCGCTTCATTCAGCGTGGGTCGCTTTGTGCTCCAAAAATCTCAAGTGCGCAGCTGAGAAATCCCCCAGTGTCCGTCAATGAGACGCGCGCGCACGCACTCACACACGCACACTCACACACACACACAAGCGTGTTATTTATTCACACAGCCGATCTGCTTATCTCATCGTTAAGGCGCGTCACGGTCTACGTCACCGGTGTCAAAACAACATCAATGGACGACGCGCACACATTACAGTGTCACACACCGATATATAATACGTGTTCAAATCGCTCGCGTGCACATAGGCTACGCGCGCGAACTCACGCGAGCTCGTTAGGCTACTGTGTAACCATCTATCTACACACACACATACACACACACGCGCGCACGTATCGACAGTAAAAGTTGCACAGCTTCACGTCACGGCCTCTGAACGACACGGACGGAAAGCGCAACGCACGCGGGATATTTACCGTTTGCGTGAACATACCGTAAATCCCGCACGTGAGTGTGCACGGCGACGCACTTTGCGTTTCAGGAGAGAGAGAGAGAGCGAGAGGGGGGGGTGTAGACAGAGAGAGAGAGAGAGAGAGAGAGAGAGAGAGAGAGAGAGAGAGAGGAGGTCCAGCCAGCAGCGTCAAAGTTTGGTTGTAACGTAACGCAGCCGACGTCGGCGGATGAATTCACCATCCGCGCAGAAATAATAAGAAATAAAAACACATTCCTCACCTCCGTGCTCACTTTCCCGCTGCTCCCCCTCCTCCTCCCGGGAGTTATGGATGCCGCGGCTGGGTAGGAATGTCCACCATGACACTGCCAGGTCCTCCCCGTTCAGTCTGCTCCGTGCACTGGATGAGGAGAGAACACGGAACTGGTCGGCTCGGATCTGCCCCAGTCCGCCCAGCAGCCAGGCAGCCAGGCAGGCGGGCAGGCAGGCAGGCAGGCAGGCAGGCAGGCAGGCGGGCGGGCAGCAGAGAGCAGCGGTGGGCGGGGAGCCACCAGGCAGGCAGGGCTCGGAAACTGAAAGCAGTTGTGTAACTGAGTGACTATTGGCCTATAACACGCACACACACACACACACACACACACACACATACACAGAGAGCGCCGTGTCTGTTGTGTGCAGTGATGACAAAGCAGTCATCTACACATGACATATACTGCATGTGTGTGTGTTTCCTGGAGAAGGAATCCCTCCGCTGCAGCTCTTCCTCGGGTTTCTAACAGTTTTTCTGTTTAAGCTTCTTTTTTTTGTTGTTGGAGTTTTTCCTCGTCCGGTTCCAGCGTCTATGGACAGAGGGTGTCCTGGTGCTGCTCACATTTTAAAGCCCCTTTAGGCAAATTTCTGATGTGTGATATTGGGCTATATTGTAAAATTTTACTTGACTCGAGCAGGAAGGAAGCACATGCACTGCAGCCCAGTTTATCAGCTGCTCAGACTGAATCAAAGTTTGGTTTCACCTACCTTTAATATAAAATACAACCAGATCAAGAAGGGGAGACTGGACAACAGGTCTTATTTCTCCAATCAGAAACATGCAGAGTGATGATTCTCAGTTAGACCCCCCACAGTTAGCATGTGTTAGTCAGTGTGTTTAGCACAGGATGTTCTGTCACAGCTGACAGGGTGGAGACGGTTGCAACAAGTTATTATAACTATCCCCAAGTTAAGCAGCCAGCGTTTCAACATTTCAGCATTTTTAGTTCAATAGACAAAATATGCAGCAAATGTTGTACCATAGCACTACAGAAACAACAATAAGAGAAGACAAACAAGTTATTTTGGTAATTATTTTATTAGCCTCTCATGGTCTTATATTATATTTACCTGTTCTGTTCATCGTGAGTTGCTAATTGTTAATCAGTGAAATTTAATGTATTTTTAATTTGTTGCAACTGTCCCTTATCTGTGGTGCAACTGTGCCCAGGGTTGGGGTCAGTTGTAACATCTGAAACTTTACATTCAAATAAATACAGTGAATGATCTGTCATATGTAATCATCTGTAAATGGCATGGGTCATTATCAGACAGATGTAAGTTTAATATCTAAAAGTTTGGTTGGTCTAGAACAGGGGTATTCAATTAAAATTCAAAGAGGTCCAGTTACAAAAATGTCCTCCCAGCAAAGGTCCGAATCTTATATTGTCACTCGAAATAGTGCACCCTGATGTAAAAAAAAAACAACATAAGTACTTTTCTATATCATTTATTGTCAAATTTCAAGTGTTTTCAATATACTTTAAACATACCGATAAGTCTGAACTTGTATGGCACTTGAATGGAAAACATTACTGTAGTTGTCTTTACGACACTTCAAGTAACTGAATTTCTTCTGAATAAAATAAATAAAAAGTGCAAACAGCTTTGAGCAGCCTGAACTTAATAATGTAAAAACATTCAGAATCTTTTGAATAAAATAAAAGTGCATCTTTAAGAAAAAATGTAAACAAAAGACCTTTGAGCTGCCCACCCCCTTTTTTAAACATGTATTAACTACATTTAAAATAAAATAACACAGGAACCTTAATGCTTACATTTCAAGTAAAATACAACAGGGCAGAATTTACTGAATAAAAGAAAAGTGCAGAGCTTTGAGCAGCTCCCTTTCTCCTCTCTCCTCTCCTTCCTCCCTTTCCAACTTCCTTTCCTAGTGAGAGAAATGGGCATGTAACTTTCCTGCCAGCAGTTTGAATCTTGGCTTAAATGGGGTTAGTGCCATTCTCATGCTCATGTGGAGATGCTCATTGGTAAGCCTGGAACAGTACTTTGTTTTAATAATGTTCATCGTAGAGAAAGCTGTCTCACAGCTGTAAGTTGATCCAAACATGGTTAATGTCAAGGTTTGCGAGGTAAGTTGAACCCAGATGCAGCCAACGCATGGGAGACGGTGCAGACAGGTTTATTTAACCACACGTGAACGTGACATGAACAGACAACGTGAACAGACGTGAACAAAACAGGAAGACAACAGACGAACCAACACAGACAAAGGGGAGCACAAAGACTATATAGACACAGGAGGCAAGGTGATTGCACACAGGTGAAACACATTAGGACGGGGCAGACAATCACTACACAGAAACAAGACCAAGACATGACGCAAAAACACAGACAAACAAGGAACCAAATTACAAAATAAAACAGGAAGTGCAAGAATTTCAAAACAAAACTAACAAAAAGTGTCTGCCATAACAAAACATGACAGTTAAAGTGTGTAGTGCTACTTTGGTTAGACCAGGGAAAATGGTTTCAGGCACAATCTGTAACCAGAAAGTAGCAGAGTCAGTTGTTTCTCTCTCAGAGCAACATCTGCTCAGTGAGCTCTCACTGTAAAGATCCAGGTTGTGCCCACTTGAAGGTCTGTGTCACCTCCTTTGAAAATCCTCTGATTTCTCTCATAAGGAATGGATTCTTGATTAGCAGGAGGAGCTGGTGTCCGAGGTTGAAGCTGTCAAATCGATGACAGAAGTTTCCAATCAGCTTGTCTATGAAGCTGACATAAGGGGAAATGTCTCTCTTACCCTGAATTTGTTCCTGCATTTGTGGGGAGTGCTCACACTCTCCTTGGAGATCTTCTTTGAAAATGTCCAGCTTCATCTGGAAGGAGCGGACAGTTTTCATCATATCACAGACAGAATTTTTCTGACCCTGCAGCTTTAAATTGAGCTTATTAAGGTGTCCTGTGATGTCCACCAAAAAAGCCACCACATCCATCTTGTTGTTATCTTGCAAAAAGTTTGCAAACTGTGTTGCTTTTTGTCTCTTGAGCTGCTGTAAGAAAGCAGCTATTTCCTTTTGGATGGACCAGAAGCGTCCCAGTGCATTCCCTTTGCTTAGCCATCTCACGTTAGCTGCGCATGCACGAATGATTTATCTTTTTATTAGGCCTAATATTATAATTATAATATAATTTTCACAGGTCCGGGCAGAACCGTCACTGGGTCCGTGCCCGGACCGCGGTCTGCCATTTGGTGATGCCTGATCTAGAACAAAGAGTCTCTGAGTAACTGAGAGAAATGTGAAAAGTGTTGCAACCGTCCCCCTACATGAATAAAATATACATCACCAGTCAAAAGTTTTAGATCGCTTCCATTTTTCCAGCTGTTATTTAAATTTACATCATTCAGTGTTTCAGTGTTTATGAAATTAAAGCACAGAACTAATAAACAATTGGAGATTTAAAAGATGGGAAATCATTGATTAATTTGTTGAAGCAAATTTAATCTAAATTTAATTTAGATCCGATTAAATTTACCTTCAATTTACATGTAATTTAGAACACATTCCTCCTACAGTGGAAATCAAATGTTCACAGTTCGTCCCATCGCTGTTCAGATGTGTTGCACTTGCAGGTTGTGTTGCTTTCACTTTCAGCCCAGCTCTTCTCAAACCAGCTCCATGTGGTTCAGGTCTGCAGACGGTGCTGGTCTTCATCATGTTGTGGCTCGTTATGTTGCTGTTGGATGAACCCCTGACCGACCAGTCTGTCTTCCTTTGTCACTTGTCTTTGTTTGCATTAACTTTAAAGGCTTCATTTACTTCTGTCACCTCAGGCAGTTTGTCACTTATACCTTTGAATCATTTCAAGTTTTTCACTGGACTGGATTTCAGATTCTTGTTCTGCACAAACTGTTGTGAATCAACATCTGTTATAACAAGTCACTAATTAATCATATTTCACAAGGCGGCAAATTTGAGATTTGGTGCATGTTTGTACAGTCTGTGTATTTCTGTCAGGTTGGTGGTTCTTCTGTTGGATGACTTTTATTGTTTTTGAAAGATTTTTCATTTTGGTTTTTGTGTTTAATTTATTTTCTTCGGTTTTGATCAACTTTTGTAATTCTTTAATGTATTTTTTTTTTTCATATTTAGAAGATTTTTCAATCAGGTTGGTTGTTCCCAAAAAATCCTGCCCATACTTGGTTTTTTCTGGCCCAGCTCCACGGCCCAAATCTGGCCCATATACAGCATCATGCAAGATGCAACATCCACATCTGGGCCAATTCTGGCGCACACACAGAAAATCTTCTGTCTCTCAGTACCGGAGAGTAACAGCCGGACTCTGCCCTGATGTGGAAGCATGTGGGCCAGACTCGGGCCGAGCAATCAGGTATATTATTGATATCGTATAATAATGGTTCCAAACCAGCCCTGAACTATGGATCCCTTGGTTTACAGATAGGAGTGAAAAAGACATTAGATAGAGAACAGGAAGTCTTTCCCTCTTTTCATCCTCCTCTCTTTGCTCATCAATAGAAAATAAAAAGAGAGGCGGATGTTGTTGTGGCAGGAAGCTGAGAGACAGGCTATGGAGGAGATGCAGTGTCAGGTTTAATTTATTTTTCACTCGACACGCTCAGCACTTCAAATGAATGTTTATGCCTCAGTAACAGAAGGTTAAAAGACGGAGATATTAAATGATTAAACAGAGTGATCGCACACTTTTCTTTCGCCCTGCCAGTTCCACTCACTGTTGTTTGAGTCATCTCTGCCCAGAGGAACACATTTATATTTTCTAATTCACTTGAATAGCAGCTGTCTGAGGGTCTACAGCCACGCCGGCAGCTCTGTGAGGATCTACTTAGGCTCAGCAGTGCTCTGACTGAATGCTAAATGCCTCAGCATGCTAACATGCTCACAATGACAATGCTAAAGTGCTAATGTTTATCATGTTCACCATCTTGGTTTTCTGAGTTAACATTGTACAAGAACAGCTGAGCTTGAGTCAGAAAACAAGGTCAACGTGAAACTGGGACCTGATTTCACTGATGACACGACAGTATTGTCAACGCAGTCCATCCTGACATTCAAAACTAAGGTGACCATGGTAACCACATACCTGCTAAACAGAGTTTGGTGATCAAAGGTCAAAGGTCAAAGGTCAAGGTCGTGGTGCCCTCAAAAAACGTGGTTTTGGCCTCGTGAACGCAATATCTCCGTAAAAACCTTGA